TGCTAAAACTGCAATGTGAGCAGATACCTCACTTCATCTCTTGCTTGGAAACACAGGTTATTCTGTTCAAAATTCTGGAGGGGGAAATAAAGGTCTATAAAAAGCAGTTTATGTTCATATAAACTGAGTTTACTCACAGCGACTCCAGTTAATAACCGTGAAAACTAGTTTTAAAATAACTAAAAAGAGAATGCAAGCTGAGTTTGTCTTGTCCTGTCTCTTCTGACAAAATGATGTTAAATGAACAAAGATAAACCAAAGCTGATCTTTATAGCACTTTGTTTTTCACAGGCTTTTCCTTTGTCAGTGCAAGTCAGTAGATGACAGCAGGAGTCTGCTCGCCTTCTCACTGTGGCTGCTCTCACCACTGCTCAGCACTTCTCAGTACCTGGTTTTAAAACTCTTGTAGCTTTTGAGTTGCTAAGTCATTACAAAATCAGCTGGGTGTGGGGTGGTGATGGAGGATAGAGCAAAAAGATTGATATGAGCAGGTTGAATCCTTAGCAGAGAGCTGGTCTTGGCATGGTGAAGTACACCAGGAGAAGGAAAAAGCCTATGGCATTTTTGTGGTATTTTACCTTGTTGACTCACCGTTCCAAAATATTTTCTAGGTAAAACATCACAATGAAGGTGGCTGTTCTGTGTTTATGCCTTATCAGCGTCACTGTGGCATGGCCAGTGAGTAAATCACAAATGCATATCAGCAACCACTTGCATGTTTTCTTTGCATATTAGCAAGAAATTAATACTGACAAATGCTTTTTCTCTTTTCTCCCTTCAAGGTGAGTAAATCCAAGCAGCATGCCATTTCTGCCAGCTCTGAAGAAAAATATGTAAGATTCTTTTGTCTTTCTATTCATTTTCTTTAATAAATCCTTTTTGATTTTTTTTTTCTCTAATACACATTGTCTGATACTTGTTTTATGATTGTAGCTGCTTGCAGAACATGTCTTCACCTGGCTGTTATGAGCCAGTTTCTCAGGTAGCCACAGCAGAGAGCCACTGACATCAGTAGACTTTTGCCATGTTCGGCGTCCTGGTCGCAGACTTTCATAGTCTGGACCAGCAGTGGAAACCTTTTTTCGTAATGAAAAATGTGTAAGCTGTTAGTTAAAAACAGAAAAGGACTGTAGCATAGCACAACTACTATAACCCATATTCATTAGTGTGAATCAGATGACAATATTTGCTGTTAGAAGAGCACTTTAATCCAATTCCCATGATTTTCTGGAGTGGTGTGAGTGAACGGTATTAGTCTTGAATATAGCTATTTGATTTATACTCCATTGCCAGCTACTACCCATGTAAAATCAATTCTTTGCTCTCAGAGTCAGCTACTGCATTTAGTTTAAAGTCTTCATGATGTGGGAGATAAATCGCTCTTGGGAAAAGGACCTGAGAATTAGCAGAAATGATTGTCATTGGATATAACTCCAAATTTCACTCAATAAAAACAAGCTGGAGAAACTGATCTGAAATTCCCCAGGCTCTGCCTCTGGGAGAGGCACATCTTCTCTATTATATTGTTTGGGTATAATGTTCATCTGGGATCACAGCTTGTTCTGAGTCCTCTTCCTACTGCAATGAACTGCTGAAGACACATCCTGTACGAAAGGAGTATGTATTGCAGATACCACGTCTGCCTGAAAACAGAGGTTGTGATGCAGGCAACTTTGCCTGCTCCTGTATGCTCCTTTGAGGATTAAAACCTCCTTTTTTTTTTCTCTTGAAGGACCCCAGAGGCCGTCACTCATATAGATATCACCACCACCATGTGAATTCTCAGTCTTGGGAGAGTCTGCACCCACAGAATGACCTGGCGTCACCTCAGCAGGTACGGGCAACTAACTGGAAGAGAAAGCAGAGCATCTTTCAATGCCAGGATTTGCAAGTTAAGAATAAGTGCTTAAAGAATAGTCAACGTGCTGATCAGCTCTAATCAGCTCTACTGTATATGCCTTTGTGTGCTAATAGTGAGTTTTATGTTGTTTTCAGACTCTTTACTCTTCAGAAGAAAGCATGGATGTCCCAGTACAACCGGTAAGTGTTTTGAACGGCAAAATGTCAGCTGAGTGCTGCAGGGAGCCAGTGTGTAGCAGCACTCATTTTCCGTGATCAAATGCGGTCCTTGTGATAACATCTCTCCCTAAATAAAACAAAGCTTCAAGCAGGGTGAGGCGAATTTGGAGCAATTCGTGCACGTAGCTCCTCAACAGTGCATAAGCCCTAGGTGAGCAGGACAGATACCAGTCTGCACATCTCACATATATGTTCATTTGCCTGATGCACAATAAATGTTTTCCAGCACTTTCCTGATGTATCAAGCAAGAGCCATGAAGATGTGGATGATGACGACGATGATAATGATTCCAATGACACAGATGAATCTGATGAGATTGTCACGAGTTTTCCCACAGATATTCCAGTAACGGTACCCTTTCCTCCTTTCACCCGGGGAGACAATGCCGGCAGAGGTGACAGCGTGGCCTACAGGGCAAGGGCAAAAGCCACAGTGGTGAAGTCTAGCAAACTCAACAAAGCTGCGAAAAAGGTAAATAGCGCTGAGCAGTGGTACCCAGGTTTTTGGAAAAGGGTGGTGAACTTGAAAATGGACATGTTACTTTATGGGAGTCAGTTTTGAAAAGGATTGGTGAGGGGAAAGTAGGCATAAGTGAAGGGATGTATTTCCTTTCTCTGGATACCCCAAATCAGGCGGTATTGATGGCCAGAGGGCTGTTGATGTGCCGAGGCAGGAGTGTAGCCTGCTGCTGCAAGCTATGCAATACTGCAATTTGCGCTATAATGATGTACTTGCACGTATGAAATCTGAGGCCAGGATCAAACTTGAGTTTCTTGTAATGTGAAAGATTCATGTAACTCCATAAAAGACTACGGTGTCCCAGGCAAAGATGTATCATGCAGGCTTTGAGTATCCCCGCAGCCTACGCCGCTTGCTTTTGTGCAGTACCGCGGCACCTGTTGACAGATCCAGTTCCTCAGGAGTGACAAACAGCTCTTTCTTGTTTTGCACTCTAACACAGCTTGCTGTGTATGATGCCACTGAAGAGGATAAGAGTGCGCTGGATGCAGACAGCCAGCAAGCAGGGCTCTCCCGGGAGGATCCTGCTGCCCACCACTCCCTGGGGAAGCATGCCATCAGCGGGGAATGGGCTGACAAGAGCCACGGGCAGGACAGCAGCGAGCTGGACAGCAAGCAGCATGACCGGAGCATGGAAAACGACAGCCGGCAGAAATTTGATAGCCATGAGGCGGAAAGAGATGACAGCAAGGCTGGTGTCAGAGGGGATAGCCACCAGAGCATGGAAAGCAGGGAGAGCCAGGTCCACGTTTCAGCTGAGATCCCTGATGATAACAGCAATCAAACGTTGGAGAGTGCCGAGGACGCTCAAGATCATCACAGCATCGAAAATAATGAAGTCACCCTTTAAAGGGAGATATATGTAATGTTTCCCTTCTTTTTCAGTTCCTACCTAAGGGGAGGAGGGAGTAGCTTCATTTCGGGTAACTGTTTGTAAATGTAGAGCGCGTGGTGACTTTTTGGGTTTGGGGCAGCTTCTGTACCCGGCGGCCTCCCCCGCGGCTGCCAG